CATTATTTCTTTTAATTCTTACAGCAGCACTCTGAGGCAGGTATTGTTATGAGCCCATTTTTTAGAAGATGAAAAAGAAGTTGAGAGAGAATATTAATCCAAAGATACTTGCATACGCATGTTTATAGCAGCACAATTTGCAATTGCAAAAATGTGGCACCAACCCAAATGCCCATCAATCAACGTGTGGATTAAGAAACTGTGATACACACACACACACAATGGAATACTACTCAGTCATAAAAAGGAATGAATTAATGGCATTTGCAGCCACCTGGATGGGACTGGAGACTATTATTCTAAGTGAAGTAACTCAGGAATGGAAATCCAAACGTCGTATGTTCTCCCTTATAAGTAGGAGCTAAGCTATGAGAATGCAAAGGCATAAGAATGACACAATGGACCTGGGGTCTTAGGGGGAAAGAGTGCGAAGGGGTGAGGGATAAAAGACTACAAATTGTATTCAATGTATACTGCTTAGGTGATGGGTGCACCAAAATTTCACAAATCACCACTAAAGAAGTAACTCATGTAAACAAACACCACTTGTTTCCCAAAAATCTATGGAAATAAAAAAAATAAAAATAAAATACAAATGTTTTAGGATAAAAGAAAAAGAAATCCAAGTAAAAGATAGTGAAGCCAGGATTTAATACAAAGGTCTCAGGCACCAAATCTCATTTGTTTAATATCATTTCCGTTACCCAGAGACAACTTTTGTTAACATTTTGGTGTCTTTCTTTATTCTTGATCCTTAAAACTTATTTAAAACTATTAAATATTTTTTTATTCTGCCTTTCTTTCTAGCATCAGAAGTCTTTCTTTTACATGTCAGTAAAAGCTTTCTAAATATTTTTATTTACTACTTAATTGCTAGCTAACCATTCTCCTACTAATGAACTTGTAGGGCCTTTCAAGTTTCTTGTATTATAAATAACACCGTAAAGGACATCTTTAAACATGAATATTTGTGTAGACTGATTTCGAAAATCAGGTTGTGGATCTGAGTTCGATATGTTTGTTTTTTCTTTTTGTTTTTGGAAAGTCTTAGGGAGGGGAACATATTTTTCAGGTCAAAAATGAGTCTTTGAATTTTACCTTATCTCTGCCCTACGCCAATTTCTCAAAGTCAGACTCTTAAAGATACTTGACTCATCGTCTTTTCTACATTGCCTAAGTGAGTTTTTTATTTCATAATGTTTGACAACTCAAATAATATTTTTGAAATATTTGAAGTATGGGCTATCTCATACCATCGATACATGTAGGGAACTGATGAGCAGGAAACCCCAAGAAGTGGAATATTCAAATGTATTTGGTGATTGGCCTTGGAGTATGTTATATGAATTACCTTGTAGGTCGCATTCGGCTAATAATGAAGTGGTTTCGTATTCTCCAAATATTTGCTGACTCCAAATGAATGAATAATTTGAGAGATATTTGCTGTATAGCAAAAGCAAGCACATGTAGTGGTTTGTTTAAAATCCCACCTGAATTTTCTCTCTAATCATGTAACTTGTCACAGTGTATTATAGTTTCTTGTAGATTCATCTTTATCCTCCAGTACATCAGGAATTTCAGGAAGCCATAAATGTACATCTGGTATACGGTGGCTGATAATATAGTATCTGGCACATAGCAGGTATTCAGAAAATGGTGTTAGAAGGAAGCAAACAAGTGAGAAACCCAGTCATAGACAGCCTTGCAAAAACAACTCTTGAGAGATGAGTCTGCTTGTTAGGAACCATCATACAATGGAAAATTTCTTAAACCTTCTTTTCAGGCATTATAAGGGCTAACTTTTTAGAACCATAAGACTTGCAGAAAATGGCGAACTTAGGTGGCCTCTGGGGTCAGAACTTTGAGGACATGACTGAAATGAGTTCAATCACTCTTTGAGGTCACTTTATCAAAACACTAATTCTGGGCTCCGTCTGAGGAGGGGGGTTTCAATCTTAACTGGGGGGAACCTCTGCCTTGACAAAAAAATAAAAGTCATCTGTTTATGTTTCATAGACTCTAAGAGGAACTGTCTCAGGCCATGAAATGCAGGCTGGACGAGCCCTTTCACGACCCTTCACAGAGCGTTTGCTTTCTTTTGTTTTCGAATTCATAGAATGTCACAATCCATACAGGATGGTCTGGCCCAAACCCTTCACGGGCCAGAAGGGGACACTATAGGGTCAGCCTCCTCTGTTCTGACTCAGATAGCATCGCTGGGCGCCACTTGTGCAATCATTGGTCTCACGTGACTCCTCAGTTTGCTCTTCATCTTCTGCTCTCCTCGCAGGCTATGAAGGACAAGGATTAATTTATGGTGCTGTGAAATGCACTGGGCTTATCAAGGGTTTTTATGGGTTAATATCCACAAGCTTCACCTCCCTTACCTTTGGTCCTGGAGATCATGTTTACAGTGCAAGCTTGAACTTAGTGGAAGGGGTTAGGTGAGGAAGAAGGCAATTAAAGGACTCCCAGTCACCTGCTGGCCTGTTCAGAGCAGGTAAGACTTGCCTAGGTGTGGGCAGGGGGCCCTTCACCCAGAGCCCTATCTCTGGAGAAAGATAAATTCACAGTTAATAAAGATAAGGGCCTGAGAGAAATGCCATTCAGGACTGCATTGCCAGCCCAGCCCAGCCGATCAAAGCCAACGGTGACTAATTCTCTTAATGGGAAATACCGGGGGTCACAGAAGGTTTTGTGTCACAGGGTTGGTGAGGAAAACCAGCTTGGGCAGGCATGGCTTTGAACCCTGCCTTCATCACTTAACAGCCACGAGATCCTGAGCAAGTGTTTTGCCTCTTTAAGCCTCAACCTGCAGGATCTCTCTTTCCTTAGGCCTCTTGGGAGCGTGAACTATAATGATGTATGAAAAGCAACTGGTGCCATGCTGGGCACAGGGTAGCTAATCAATAAATGTGAATTTCCCCCTTTACCCCCTTTCCCCTTTTCTTCCTTTGACCGTGCCTTTGAAAATAAACTCATCTGGAGACTGGGCGCGGTGGCTCATGCCTGTAATCCCAGTACTTTGGAAGGCCGAGGCGAGCGGATCAGTAGAGGTCAGGAGTTTGAGACCAGCCTGGCCAAGATGGCAAAACCCCGTCTCTACTAAAAATACAAAAATTAGCCAGGTGTGATGGTACACGCCTATAATCGTAGCTACTCGGGAGGTTGAGGCAGGAGAATCGTTTGAACCCAGGAGATGTAGGTTGCAGTGAGCCGAGATCACACCACTGTACTGCAGCCTAGGTGACAGAGAAAGACTTTGCCTCGAAACAAAACAAAACAAAAAAACTAAATTAATTTTGTTTGCTTGTATCCTTTCATTCATTAAGCCATTGATTCATGCAACAGACATATAAAGCACTTACTAAGTGCCAGAATCCAGGCTCAGCATAGAGCATATTTAAAATATCAGATGCAAAATTTGTCCTTATGAAGCTATGGTCTAAAGAGGGGAAGAAATGTTAATTCGGATAGCTACCACACATTGAACACTTATGATGTGCAGTGCTTTTCCTGTATTTACTCATTGAATCCTCATAACAACTCTCTGAGGTAGAGACCATCATGATCCCATTTTATGGATGGAAAAACTGAGGCACAGGGTCATGAAGTAATTTACTCCAGATGCCATAATTAGTAAGTGTCAGAGTATAAGTGTACCCTCTAGCCCGTGTACAGAAAACCACTGCAGTGTTACAAGAAGATAAGTATTAACCCTTTGCACTTGGTGATTTACCCATTTGGGGGCTATTGGTGGAATTTGGCTAATTTGGTTGTCTACCCCCTTGCTGCTAATCCAGAGTGTGTGGTCCATGGCCTGGCAGCATGGACATACCCTGAGAGCTAGCAAGAAATACTGAATCTCAGGCCCCACCTCAGACCTGCTGAACCAGTCTCATTTTGACAAGGTTCCAGGAGATCTATGTGCCCGCTGGAATTTGAGAAGTGTTTGTTTATATGTCCAAACTATCTTTCCACTGGCATAATTAAAATTACAACTAAAAAGCCACCCAGGCAGTGCCATTGTGTAATCCTGAAGTCACTGGGTTGAGGAGACCTGTGAGATGCCCATAGGAAGTAGCCTGAGCACCCCTTAAGTGGCTTGACCCCACATTTCTTCAACCCCCTTAAGACTCTGCTGTCACCTACAGTGTCTTCCCTAAAGTCATCAGCGGGGTTCAAACGTTCCTTGGCATAGAATCTCCTGCAGTGCTTCCTAAGCAGAGATGTTGACCTGTAGAACGTGCCCTGTTATAGGCATGGGTGGGGTTAGGGTCAGTTTCTGGTCCACTCTCCAGCGTCCTCATGGCCCTCATCATTATCTACAATGACGTGAGTCATTCAACCGTTCACATCTTCACCATAGAGTCATTCCATTAGACTGTCACTTTCATGGGGGCAGCTATTTACCTGGATCAATTACCTCTACATCCCAGCACCAGGAAGAGACCTGGCACATAGGAGGTGTTCCATAAATATTTGTTGAATGAATGAATAAATGCAGAAACCTATTCTAAACCTTTTTTTTGAGACAAGGTCTCACCCTGTCACCCAGACTCGAATGTAGTGGCACACTCTCAGCTCACTGCAACCTCCCCTTCTGGGACTCGAGCAATCCTCTCTCAGCCTCCCAAGTAGCTGGGATTACAAGCATGTGCCACGATGTCTGGCTAATTTTTTCTATTTTTTGTAGAAATGGGGTTTTGTCATGTTGCCCAGGCTGGTCTCGAACGCATGGACTAAAGCGATCCTCCTGTTTCAGTCTCCCAAAGTGCTGGGATTACGGGTGTGAGGCACTACGCCTGGCCTAAACTTTTAAGTAAATAATTCCCAAACTTAAGTGATTGAACATTGATTAGAAATAAATTTTGTGTCACACCCTGCAACTGACCACAGCTCTTCAGGGTGCCTAAGAGGGCTGAGATTGGAGAACAGCACAAACTTACCCATTGTATTAATTTAGTACTGCTGCCACAACGGAATTACCACAAATGCAGTGGCTTGAAACAACGCATATTTACTATTTTACAATTCTGGAGATAAGAAGTTCTAAAATCAAGGTCTTGGCAGGGTTGCATCTCTTCTGGACACTTTAGAGGAGAATCAGTTTCCTTGCTTTTTTTTTTTTCTCCTAGAGGCTGCTCACATGCCTTGGCTCATGGCCCCCTTCCATTCTTCAAAGCCAGTAGTTGTGTTGCTCTAATCTCTGTTTGCCTTCACATCTCCTCTGTCTCTGGTTCTCCTGCTTCTTTCTTATGAAGATCCTTGTGATGACATTGGACCCTCCTGGGTAATCCAGCATAATCCCCTCATCTCAGCATCCCTAGCTTAATCACAGCTACAGAGTCTCTTTTGCTATGTAAGGTCACATACTCACAAGTTCTGGGGATTCCAGGGATTAGGATGTGGAAGTCTTTGAGGGGTGAGGCATTATTCTGGCTACACTGACTTTACTGCCTACCCCAGAATAAAAGTGAGTTGAGGCTGGTATCTCCTCGGAGTGGTATCTGCTGTCTAGATCCATCATTGCTCATCTATCCCAGGCCTTTTCTGTGCGATGACTCTGGCTCTCTTCCATTTCATTTCCTCCAGGATCCTCCCTCCCTTTTATGCCACCTTTCTTGGTACTTTAGATTCTTAGGATATTCATGCTGAACAAATACTCATTTTTATTACCAATTGTTTTTTAGGACAGGGATAGCCAACCTTTAGGATTTAGTGTTAATCACTAATTGTCAACTAACTGTCAATCACTAATGAATCAACTAAGATTGTCCACTTTGGATATGCCACCTTGAGAAGAGCCGATTCCAGGGGTCATAGGATACATGATATTATTTTCTGGTGATAGATGATACTTATTTTGGTTTTTGTTTGTTTGTGTGACTTTTGTACCACCCATGAAGATAATTTGAATACTCTTAGAAGGGTAATCAAACTAGACCAGGATCTTGGAACATCTGAGAATAAACCTGAAATCAATTAATCACATCTACTACATGAAGAAATGGTTTCTTTGGCTCCAAGCTCACAAGGTGGATCCCAAGGGAGAAACAGAAAGTGGCTTAAGAAAATAAACCCAGCTCCGTGGTCCATGAATGGCGCTACCCAATGTCAAGAAGTGACAACCTGGTTGTGAGAAATATGTCTTGGTGGCACCATTTTCTCTAGAGCCCAATGAGGATAAACTACAGCCCTGACTGAATTCAACTAAGAGCGTAGGACTAAGTACTGGCACCAAGGCCTTGCTCTCAAAGTCGGGTCATTCTAAAGTTCCAGAACTTTCTTTAACTTAGGCAGTGCTGTCAGGCAGAGGCTTTTGAAGGGCCAGATGGGACCTGTGGAGAAGAGGTTAATTCTTATCACTCTTGGGGCATCTCTCCTCACATCTCTTTATAACTTGTGAGATACCTGGCTCCTGACTGACTGTGTCAAGGAGGGTGTGGCCCCCACGTCTGGGCCTCCCCTCTCCTGCTCGTGAGGCCATCATGTTCTGATTAGTATTAATAATTGATTTATATAGCACCTTTTACAAGCCTGCAAATACTGTCTGCAACCAGTCCCTGTGTGGACACACGCATCACTTCACTCTCAGATGATAAGCTGCCACCTCACGGGGTGGGCAGGGAGGTGCGGCGGGCGCCAGTCACCTCAGTGGCGCCAACGACGTGACAAGGAGACAGTTTGCTGGAGGAAGTAGGGCAGCACCTTATCTCTGCTGGCTGGGGTGGGGGACCAGGCGGAGGTGATTCTGGGCTTGTAATTAGTAACTTGAAGGGTTGGACTTGTGAGTACCCCAGGTCAGGAAAGCATCTTTTGGCATAGGATAGGGTTGCTTAATTATCTCATTATTTAGTCGGGAAAAAAACCCCAAAACAAAACCCTGAGATGCTGCTGGAATAAAAGAATGCCAATGGCAGAGACAGGGTAAAGCCGACACATCTGTGGGTCACATCAGCGTGTAACCTGGGGCTGTACGCCTTTGTTTCCCCTGCCAAGCTGAAGCAGATGGTGGAAGATGGTTATCCAAGGCTCATGTCATTGGCTGCCATATTGTATGGGGCTTGGGGAGCTCATCTTATATTTTGAGGCATCCTAAGTTAGTGTTTGAAGGAAACTGAGGGTTTACAGGGCCCTCATTTGAGCTATGGGAAGTCCTGTAGTAAAGAAACTCATTAAATTTAATTTAGTTCAGTATTTCCCAAACCTACTTGATGTTATCATTTTGATGAGGGTCTGCCTGTTGGAGCTCATTTAGGATCTTTACTTATGTTTTTGAGAAAAATCAGCATTATGTAGTTGAAGAAAATGAGTTCTGAATTAAGTCAATTTTCTGGTGGTCTTGAATGAGAGCATTCATGTAGAGACAAGTTCTATACCTTACTAGGTGGGTAATCATGGGAAAGTCACAGACCTTCTTGTAACCTCAGTTTCCTCATTTATAATAGTACCCACTGCACAGGGATGAGGCACAGTGCCAGGCACATAGTATCTGCTCTGTAAAGATAAGCTATTTCTTATTTTATCATCATGAGGACCATCAACATGTCCATCATCTTCATCAAATAGCAATGTTGTCTGAGGAGAAATGAAACATCTTGGTAGATCAGACAACAACACCACCCAGTTTCCCAGAAAGGAGGGGTGAGATACAGAGAAAGGTTTCCATGTTTGCTCAGATTCTAGTGTCCTATTCCTTGGGAGGTCAGTGGGGAGAATCCAGACTCACCTAGGAGTAAAGCTCAGGGATGAGTCAGAGCTCTTGAGTGGCCAAGTGGAAGGATTCAGAGACCAGGAATAAAGTACGAATTCCCTAGGAAGCCATGCGATGCGGTGTGGACTGAGATGAAGAAGAATCTAGAACTTTGGCAGAAGCATCTGAATTAGAACTTTTCAACTCCATTCCACCCAACTCTAGTCCATCTTCCATGAACAAAGGGTGGCGTTACTAAGTCAATAGGGGGATGGCAGCACGTGCTTCCCCTCCCGGAGAGTCAGGAAGTTGATCCATATAGTAAAAGCTTTGAGGAGTCTTGCAGTAAAGAAACTCATTACATTTAATTTAGTTCAGTATTCCCCAAACCCATTTAATTCCTGGACTACCTCCTTTATTTTATTATTTTATTATTTCATTAAAAGAATACATATTTTTATCTAAACATACTTTGGGAGAGATTGATTTAGACCATGAGAATTTGGAAGAATTGTCTCTTCCAAAGCTGGAAAAAAAATAGAGATTTTAAAAATCGAATTTATGTGTTTTTAATGTATCCTACTTGAACATCTTTTTTCTGTTTGTGTGTTTGAACTTGTAAAGAGACTCACCACCACTTCTAAATTATTGTTACTGTGTTTGTGTTTGAAGTGTTGGTCTGGATTTTGCAGCATTTTAAATGGTTTACTTAAAGGATGAGGAGGGAGGAATAGCCATGTTCCCAATTTGGGATAATGTCAACACTATTTATGATCCCGTCGATACTAGCCACAATAATGTGTTTTTATGATCATGTCAATGCCATTCGCGATCATGCCAGTACAATAGTAGCAACAACTGTCATTGATGAGTGCCATTTAGGAAGTCATGTCTGTGTACCCTTCCCTACACTAAGCAGGTGACGTGTTATGTCATGTAGTTCTCCAAATAGGAAACTGAGGCTCAGAAGAGGTAGGTAGCTTGCCCAAAGTCATGTCACTAGAGAGTAGCAGAGCCAAACTTGAATCCAGAACAAACCCTAAGAACAAAGCCATGGCTTCCATGTTGTACCTCGCATGCAGTTGCTAATTCTTCCTTCCTACCTCCATTCCGAATCCTCTCTGAGTGACTCAAGGGTCCTATCTAACATCAGGAGCAAGAGCTGCTCTGAGTGATTGGAAGCTGAGGCTCGGGACCTAGAAGGCTGCTGAGTCACCAGCAGGCTGTGCTGTGGCAGAGATAGCCTTAGCGGGGGTCGATGTGTGCAGGTCTCAGGCTGCCGGGGCTCTGTCCTATGGACCTTGTCCTTTGGGTGCCAGACACAGCTGTGTGTTGTCCAGGTGTCACTTTCATTTTCTGAGGCCCACACTTGCGCACACCCAGAGAGACTTTACATATGCACCTTCTTGTTATGTACCCAGGAGGGTACTAGCCACTCTGGTTTGCCCAGGACTGTCCTGGTTTTAGCACTCAGAGTCCTATGTCCTAGAAAACCCTTCAGGCTCTGGCAACCGGGGCAAGTTGGTCACTCTAAATTGGTCCCTTGGTCTATATAGAGCTCCTCAGGTGAGACTTGTCTAAAGGCAAAGGGAAGCTAAGTTCAGGGCCTTTAAAAATAAGCAGTTTCTGCAACAGAAAAATGCAGTAGAATGCAGGAAGGTTAATTCTGACTATCGGAAAAAAAAAACCCTCATTGGAAAAATTAAAAGAAAATTTTTTTAACAACCTCACCAAGTCTTCTTCATCGAATCCAGCACTTACTAATTCAATAAAAGTGCTTTTAAAATAATACTCTTCTACTCCTCCGTGACTCACTAAGTTGTGAGTGTTTAATGCATGCCAGACTCCTTGCTCAGCCCCTGACCTACAAAACTTCATTGAATTTGGACAATTACCCCAAAAGGTAGGCATTATTATTATTATTATTATTATTATTAAGACAGTGTCTTGCTCTGTCACCCAGGCTGAAGTGCAGTGGCACAATCTCAGCTCACTGCAACCTCTGCCTCCCGGGTTCAAGCAATTCTTCTGCCTCAGCCTCCCGAGTAGCTGGAATTACAGATACCCACCACCACACCTGGCTACTTTTTGTATTTTTAGTAGAGATGGGGTTTCACCATTTTGGCCAGGCTGGTCTCAAACTCCTGACCTTGTAATCTGCCTGGTAGGTGCTATTTTTATGCACAACTTGACAGATGAAGAAACTGAGGCTCAGTCAGATCACTTGCCTAAGGTCACAGCTAGGAGGTGCCTGATGCAGGTGACTTAGACTCAGGTGACCTGAGAGCAGGCTGTAGGCACTCATCACCCACTAGTCCATACTGCTCCCTCCACTAGCTAGTGATGGACACTTTAAGAAATGAATATCTTTGGCTCATAATCATATGAGAGTATGAGCTTTCTGAGGGTAGCTTATTATTTGCGAATGTATCCTCAGAGAACCGAGCATGGTGCTATGCACATAGCAGATGCTCAGTGAATGTTCGCTAAATCGTATTATAGTAAAAAAAATTTATATTTTCTTTGCCCATAGCAAAAAAATTATTTTGCAGAAGTCCTGGTCTGTTTTCTTTATTTATCCACCAGAATAAAAGCCATTTTAGCAGGGGGCAGTGGTTCACGTCTATAATCCCAGCACTTTGGGAGACTGAGGTGGGTGGAGGTCAGGAGTTCGAGACCAGCCTGGCCAGTATGGTGAAACTCCATCTCTACTAATTTTACCTGGGTGTGGTGGCACGTGCCTGTAATTCCAGCTACTTGGAAGGCTGAGGCAGGAGAATCATTTGAACATGGGAGGTGTAGGTTGCTGTGAGCCTAGATCGCACCATTGCACTCCAGCTTGGAGGACAGAGCAAGACTCTGTCTCAAAAAAAAAAAAAAAAAAAAAGAAGCCATTTTAATATATCTGTCTTCATATAGGATTATAAACTCTTATCATATATGTACATATACATAAGCACACATATATAAACATATATATACAACACACATAATACACTAATAATATATATAATAGGTGTTATACACACACACATATACATTATTTATTTATATAGATAAGCCCATACTCTGTTATTCATCTCTGCATTGCAACTATTATCACAATGCCTGGCACATAGCAGGGGCTAAATAAATACTTCTGGAATGAAAGAATGAATAAACGCAAGCTGCCCACAAGAAAAACTCTGAATAGAGAGATCCGTGTTGCTCCTATGGAAATTTCCTCACATGCTCTTTCAACCACATCTGGGCCTCGTGTGAGTCCAGCAATTTCAGTACGGAGGGCTGGGCTACATCAGTTATGAAGAGATTGTCTGAGGATGCCTATTCATGACAGAAGACACGCAAACACACTCTCCGTCTCCTCTTTAAGCTGGTGCCATCAGTAACTGCTCCAGTCAGTCCCACTGAGAAAGGGCAGCCCAGGGGCTTCAGGTTTGGGTCCCAGAGAATATCTGCAGATGAAGAAACTATCAAATCCTAATAGCAAACATGCACATAGCATTTTACTTTGTGCCTGTCTCTCTGTTGAAATGTTATGCGTAATTAACTCAATTATACTTCACAACAACTCGATGAGGTTGGTATCATTTAATCCCCAACTTACAGATAAGAAAATGAAGACTTATGAGGTCATGTAACTTGCTCAAGGTCACAGATCTTGTGAGTCTGGCTTGAGTCCATGGTCTTTACTCCTTTAAGGCATTCTCTATAACCTGTAAAGCAAAAGATGAAGGGGCACTTGTGTGACCATTCCCATAAATGCTACTATGTGGTATTTATTATGCAAGGGGCTGATATTCCCAAAGAATACTCATTTCTCAAATGGCACAAAAGTATCAATAATCATCAATACTAATAGCTACCACCATTGAGCAGTCTCTATATGTGCGACAGCTTCTGGCCATTTGCTTGTTAGTACAACAAGAGGTAGGTGCTTTTTCTCATCTCCGCCATACAGACAAGGAAACTGAGGCAGAACAAGAGATAATGGCTTATGTAAACTCAGACAATAGAAAGAGAGTAATTGGGATTTAATCCAGGACTTTCTGATTCTGAACCCATGCATGAACGCATACCATAATACTTTATTATCTTAGAAATAACAGGAAAAATGGTCTCAGGTGAGAACTCCAGGAAACTTGAGCAAGGGCTGCATTTCTTCTACTACACCAAAGCAAGCATGGGTAGGTAGCAAGAGAAGGTGATGTGTGAAGGATGGATCATACTATGCTCTGGAAGCATAAACCTGCCCCCAGTTTTCCACTGTTTTCTGAATACACTACGTGATCCATGACTCTCTTGACTTACGCTATTTCTTCTTTCTCAAAAGCCCTTTCCACTCTCTTCCACCTCCACTATTACCTGTTTGACCAATTCTTCTTCATCTTCATGACAGTTCAAATTCTCACTGCCTCTGCAGATTATCCCCAAGCTTCCCCAAATTCTACCCTGTCACCTCCGGTAGTGCACTTCACGAACCCCAGTTCTATCTAGTTCTAGTCTCCTTTTGTCTACATTTCTCTAGTGGAGAGGGGAACCACACTAGTTCTCTAAGACGTTCCTTAGGTAGAAAGAGCTTTCAGGGTCAAATACAGTTGGGGAGTGCTGCTAACTCTATGTTGCTAACTCAGGGAAGTTTCCAAAGAGACACTCACAGAGTAAAGGCCCTGAGAAGTCCCACAGTGAAGAGAACAGTATTTCGTATTTGACAATGGAACACTTCCCCTGCCAACCAACATTTCTTTGGCAGTAACATCCTGTTCATGGAGCAGATTGCTGTAGTTATTTGTTTGTGGACCTGCCTCCTCTACCTAATTGTGAGTTTTCTTCAGAGATTGTTATTTTATGATCTCTAGATCTCCAACACTGGGTTAATATTTATTGTGTTGAATTAAAGCGGTTTCACAGGCAAAGCCAAGCAGAGGCAAAGCTGCCAAATCCTGTATGCAGATGCCACGTAGAAGGAAAGTTTGTCCCTCTTTCCACCCTCACTGCCCCACTGGGCATTTGGCAACCTTCGCGTGATCAAATAATAAGCTTCCTCGCCATCAATCTCCATGGATGTGGGTGCCCTCAGGATGTGACAACTCATGAAAATTGTGGTTGAACACATTTTAGCCTTTCTTTCTAAATTCCCAGA